CCCACGTACACAACGTCGTCTTCTCTGAGTTTATCGTTGCAGCCACTGGTCAACCTCCCCCAACGTTTGACATTCATCTACCTCGTCATGGCCAAGGCCATGGATGCAACAATGGCAACAACACCACACCCAACAATGACGGCAATAGCAATGGTGGTACGACCAGCCCCGGCAACAACAACAATAACGGCAACAACGAGAACAGCAACAACCAAGGATCTTGGCAAATTGTCAACGAAATCGGTGATGGAGCATGCCTCCTACGATGCATTGCCCGTCGAGTTTTCAACGACCACAACATGCACCACTTAGTCAGAACGCAACTCATCGACCACATCAACGACAACCTCCACAACCCCACCCCAAATTCTGGAGGAAACACCTTCTTCGACTCCATATTTGTTGGAATAAATTCAGAGAATATTCAAATAGCTGGTCAACCTCAACAAACCTACCAAAATGTTCCGGAGTACCTCCAACTCATGTCGGTTCCAACTGCCTACGCAACCCACGTCGACATTGCAGCTGCCCAACAGTTATACAACCTTAACATAAGAGTTACCCTCGTCGGCCAACCCTTTCCACCTCCTCCGTCCCATGATACATGCGATGTTTTGTACGGGGGCGAGCACTACCGAACTTTGCAGTTTCATCCATGACTTCACTACTTCCTTTCCTACGTGCGTCACCCCCGGGGGGCCTGACACCAACGTCCCGAAGGGGGACCTTGTATATATATATATATATTTGCTCAGCACTGTGCTGCACGGCTGAAAAAAAAGAAGTGTGGGAAAATACACTTCCAACGGGAAAGAAGCCCCGTGTGGAAACTTTCTGATCCGGCCGCTCTCTCGGCAACAGACCTCCACACCCAGGATTGACGTTAGAGGGCGAACGGGAGGCTAAACTGCCCAGTTTTCAAGAGAGGTATGTACAAACGATGCTAGAGCACAGCAGGGTATGTATCATACGTCCAGACATGCATGGTAGGGCGAGAAAGTCGGACTGCAGCAGGCGCGACCACACTGCGAAAGCTCCAAGATCAGGGAGGAGCTTTACACGCGAACCGACCTCTGCGCGAGGTTGGCGTTTTGCAGACTTACAGTGCTGCCGCCATGTTCCTAGGTTCCATTTCCACCTAATGCAAAAGGTTTGAGGCGATTCGGTGTTACAGGGGATAAACATAATGTGTTCAAAATTCAAATTTCAGGAGAGCCCACGCGGGGTCCGATGGTATCCTCCCTTGCATGTTGCGCATGTACATCCACTGGATACACCATCCCCACCCCAAGTAAATGACGAGCCAAGCATGACCCGGGACGCACAGCTACGTACACTTCAGACCGTGCATATCGAGTTAAACGCCGCTGCACTAGAGAATCAGCAATGTGTACTACGGAGTTCGACAGTTGCATAGGCATGCCCGTACAGAGCAGCAGATCTTACGCATGGCTTTCAACAGACAACGAAGAGTCCAGATCTAAGATATGTGTGCACAGCGTAAGCTCTACGTGTCACTTAACATTCAGTATTTGTTGCTTTATTCCCTGTTCAGGTATTTGATGCATAGAATAGCGATCGGCATAGATCGAGCTGCTGCCAGATGACCCGTCGGAGAGGTAGACGGGGCAAACAGGCTCGTGGGCAGCCCCATCGGTCAACCGGCTACGCCACCGGCTACGCCACCGGCTACGCCTCGTGACCAGCCTGGGAGCTCTGGGACACCCGGAAGCGGGGGTACACAGCCAATGTTAACCCTTCGCCAGCTTACGGAAGGCACGCTGGGGTGCTGGGCTTGGGCAAAGACGACTCGAAGTCGGGGAAGGGGAGCAACTACCGTCGGGCGCACCACCACATCACGGCGTTCTGGTCGGCGTTTATGGCTCTGTGTCGCGAGGAATGCTTGAAGGGATCTCCGACGCGAGGCGACAGGCCAGTGGAAGATGACGAAGTGGTCGACGGGGTGATTTGGTGGATAGCGGCGCGGGTGGAGGCTCACAAGACCTTCGCTGTGTGGAAGCAGTTCCTCCTCCACGACTACCCAGCGTACATCGCCTCCCGAACTGCCCTGCGCACGGGTAACTTCAGGTTGAGGCTTGATGCCCTTCGCCGTATCGCCCCCAACTTTTGCATCACCGGCAAAGACAAGTACCAGTTCCTTGTCATAGATCACCTGACGGAGGTGTCGCGTTATTCGCGCAATGATATGAGGGTCGTGTCCGAGCTATCCTCCGTCTCACTCGGCCCTGATACGATTGCACGAATCGGCTCGGACGAGAGGCAGGAGGTGGCCAATCGTCTCTACAAGACGCTGACGAAAAGAGTCCTTTCGAGCACGATAGAAAAGTTGGCACCGATTGCCCAGCTGCGTCAAGTCGCCATGTTGGACTTCGAATCGCATTTCGTCGAGAAACCACGCACGGAAAGGGACCGTTGCAGGGAGTTGTCGGTGAAACGTGCGCCAGCAGTCAGGGCGGCGATCGACTGCTCGAGAGAGAGCTCGGCATTCAAAGGCGATGATGGTATAATCAAGGTCGTGGCGTTGGACGGGAGAGTCTTCCCGCCGGTCAAGTGGCAAGAGATTCTCAACTCGGGCGATAAGGCTGCCGCGCAATTGCGAGAGTGCGTCCTGTACTACGTCTTCAAGAAGAAAGACCTAAAGGGCGCGACCAAGAAGAAGATTTTCTCCATCCCGGCTAGGAACAGCACCAACAAGGCCACGAAGAATCACGGGAGGTCGTCTGCCCGGAAGGATACCGTCGGCAATGCTCACGCGGGGAGTAAAGAGTGGAAGGCATGGCACTGAACATGCTTGATGCGGCTAGAGAAGGCGGAGGTGTGGTGACACAATATGAGATGCTAGAAATGGTGAGGTCCATAGGAGCGGCCACGCCGAACAGCATGGCCAACGCGACGGGAGGTGAGGGAGAGAGCGTGCGCATTTTAAACGAAGTATCTATTTATTGACATTGTAGCCGGTTAGTCCGACTAGACAGATTAAGCAGGGAAAAGCGTTGTCATCTCGAGATTTCGCTCCCAGTCGAAGTTCACACACTCTCAACACCCGCGCATCTGAGTGTTTATCCACGTGTTCCGTCCCTCCCCCACACCCCCACACACCTGTTGAAATCTCTCATTTTAACGCAACAGGAGCCAAGCACGCCAAGAAGGCGGCGGGTCCGTTGATATGGGTCAGAGAGCACTGTGCCGACGGGTTCGCAGTCGACCCGTTTTACGATGCCGACGCTCATGGCGTGGATCTGCCCGTGTCAATCCACCAAGGGGTGCACCCAGAATACCTCGAGAAGGGAACCGCGGTGATAATCGACTACTTCAAGAAGCAGCTCTTGTCGAAGTGGTTGAAGTCGACGGAGCTGCCCGTTGCGCGCTACGACCGCCAAGAACTAGTACCGGCAATCAAAGGACACGAGCAGCGTGGGAGGACGGAGAAACTTGGAGGGTGCTCTCGGACCTTCGACCTGAAGTCAACGGATCCGGTTCCTTCGTTGCAGAATGGGTCATGGCTTCGAGCCGATGGCAAGGCGGCGCGGGACGGAATCGCCGCCAACCTGGCCATGCGCGTGCTGGCTGATGATGTCTGGACTGCCGACACCAAGCCCAACGGAATCGTCGCATCTTTGGCGTCGGAGGTGAACCTGGTCTGAGTGCTGATAATCCAGCGAGTGTCGATGCCGATGTAGGCCTCGAAATGGGAGTAGGTACCACGGAGGCGCTTGAAGCAGTACCACTCCTACACTTTGGAGACGGAACCGACCTGATCCCTGACGTCGAGCGGCACCGTGGGCCAGACATCGGCGAGGCGGAACTCCCCGTGATACACTTCATCGACCGTGCGAAGAAGTACTGGGGGAAAAGGTTCGACAAGTGGGTCGTTTCATCGGTAGACACGGACCTATGGATGATCATCCTACTGGCAATGACCACTAATTGGCTCCCGCCGCGTGGCGAGGGTGCGGTTGACTTGACCGCCCAGAGGGTCGTGGGTGGCGAGACCAAGTTCCTGTGGATGAACAGAGTGTTCGCCAGCATCTGCAAACTCCAGGACGAAAGCGATCCGCGTGGCCACCTGTAACCTTCAGGAGCTGGGTTCCCACGGACGCCGACAAGGTTCGTCTGTTCGTCCTAANTCCTACTGGCAATGACCACTAATTGGCTCCCGCCGCGTGGCGAGGGTGCGGTTGACTTGACCGCCCAGAGGGTCGTGGGTGGCGAGACCAAGTTCCTGTGGATGAACAGAGTGTTCGCCAGCATCTGCAAACTCCAGGACGAAAGCGATCCGCGTGGCCACCTGTAACCTTCAGGAGCTGGGTTCCCACGGACGCCGACAAGGTTCGTCTGTTCGTCCTAACTTTTTTGGAGTCGGGCTGTGACTACCTCCCGGCGATTTCCGGGCTGCCGTTCGACAAGATGTGGGTACTCGTCCTCAAGAGCGTGCGGACGGAGGGTTTGTTTGACAAACCGCTGTTCTTCGAGGAGCAGGATGGCACGTGGGCGAATGCGCGAGACTATTGGCGACCATGTTCTTCTACAAGGATGAAGCGGCGTTTGGCAGTGCTCATTTAAGTCCATCCCAGCTGCTCGAAAGCGTCGACGGAGACGTCGAGGACTACGTGAGCTTGGTCCACTACGCCATCCTCCAACTTTCCAAGAAGAAGACGACAGCCAACTGTCCGTCTTCTTTTGCCTTGCGCAAGCACGCAGAACGGGGTAACGCCATCTTCCGGTACTGGCAGAATGGCCTGACGGAGGCCATGCCGACGACAGAGTTTGCCGGCAAAGGATGGGGCGTCGACCCACGAGGAAAGGGGAGCGACAGCGACGAACTCACAGCCGAGAACTGCGTGCTTTGGCTGTCCGAGTATTCATACATCGGCCCTGACCGCAAGACAGCCACGCTGGCGTGCGGTTGGAATCCGGACACGGCCCTGTGCAAAAGGTGCAGATGCAAGGACAGAAAGTGCTCGCTCGCTTGTGGCTGCAGAAGCCGTTGCACCCTACGTCGGGCGGCGCCGGCACCCGTGCGAGGAGGGGGGAGGCCTGCGTCCCAGCCTACGGTGGCTGCTTCTCAAACTGGGCCGATCGAGGGTTTCGCCCGACCCCAACCACCCATCCTTGCGTGTTGCCAATGCCATGGCACTCTTTATCGCCTCTATGAAGCAGAAGGAATCGCGCGGAGCGGAACAGAGCGACATGGAGGCGGGGACCCCCGAGTCACCTGCGAGCAACGACGTTTCCTCCGGAGAGGCTGCGGAGTCGAAGAAGGCAGATCTGCAGGACCCCGAGTCGAACGAGAACAGCGACGGTTCGGTCGGTGCACTCGACGATTTGATGAAGTTGGATTCGGGTGAACCTGGCTCTAGCGATGGGGAATCTGACGGGTTGAGCGAGTAGAGCGTCGACCCGGCCTGGAGTGACGGAGACACAGAGGATGGTGCTGCGGATCTCGTCACCGACGCCTGGAACTGAAACCTGGCTAGTTCTTCAGGCAGGTGCTTGTACCGTTCCTTGAGATACCTGGCTTGGGGTTGGGGATGTCGTTATGGGCATTATTGCAAAAAAATAGATCTCCACATCCTACCGAAAGATTGCTGTGGTCTGATATATACTATCCCCCATGTTTCAATGCCAATTTCGCGCGTCGTTGTTGGTGGTTAAACAGGTCCATGCTTCACTTGGATGAATCCATCCGTCAAACACGGGTACGAGATGTCAAACGTCGGGAACAGAAGCCGAACGCTTGCAAGCCGGTTAGAGCGCGCGTTTTCGCCCGGTCTATTTTCGTACCTAGTTGCGCAAGGAGACGGACGGACGGAGGGTGTTTTTTTTTCTGCCACGCTGGGTGTCCGTTGTTTATTGGCATGGTAATTTGTTCTTTGCATTTTATCGGCAAACTGTCTGGAACGCATTGGGGTGCTGTGTGCGTTTGGGCCTGTGTCGTTTGTACTTACTGTTAATTTTTGTTGTATCCTTCAGTTCGGACATGTTGTTGATAGGTTTGGGCAACTCGGGGGCTCCGGTCTTGTGTGCCGTGCTCGTGTGTAAGTCCTTCAACGCGTTTGTTTTCGATACACCATTCCATGCTAAGTGCGTATTGATACGTCGAGAAACAAAACTTCAATGTGTAGGTAGGTCGGCCGTTGCCTGCGTGCGACATCAGATTGCACTACGTTGTTAGTGGCCAAACTCACTGTTCCTGTAGCTGCCATGTTACCCCATCCTTCTCACATTTTATTCTCCGGGAATCAGGAGAAGTCAACAGGCACAAGTGGTGCGGTGCAACAACGCGCAAGCACTCCAACAGCAATTTCAGTTCAAACCTGGCTGACGCCATTCAAGAGTACTCCACCTGTAGTTCGTTTTATAGCACAGTTCTAAGTGCTGTATAAACACAAGGCCAGCAGCTAACATGACCTATGCTTGGTGTTGCCGGTAGCGTGGCAGGGCATAAGCACGGTGCCTGTATGCGAACGCAATTTTTCATCCTCATCCGTGCCTACCTCTCGATCCTCTGCATGAATCACGTTGAATTCTTGTGCAATATAGTCTATGTTCTATCTGGGGCTCAGTTCATCTTCCCTCAAATATTGGCGGCGATTGATTTATATGGTGGTGGGCGCGTTCTCGTGCTTGATCGGTTTGGCGGGTGCACAGCAGCGTGGTTGCGCCGCGTAGATACGAGTCTCATATTTTTTTCGGGGAGGTGCTGCGGGTTGCGCCAATAAGTTTGAAGCCTAGTCTACGTTGGCAGTGGACAGAATTTCACAAATCTTGGCTCCCTACATAGCTATCGCAATAGTCTACTGCTGTGAGCCTTTAGCCTTGGGTGGATGTGCGCTGGTCGCGCTGCAATTCCGTTTGAAGCGATTTTCTTTGATCCCCCGTCATTTTTTTGTTTTTTCAGCCGTGCAGCACTGTGTGGTGCTGCATTTGCATGTATGTAGTGCTCAAATCTTTTGTCCTTTGTTCCTCGCAAGAAGTGGAGAACAAACAGGAAAGAGCACATCCCGCAACGCGATGTGCCTTACAGTAGTGGCAGGGCATAAGAGATAGCCTGCATATCGATTTCATTGTCAAGTATTCTCTCTTCTCTTGAGAAATGTTGTACTCGTGGTCTAGACTATATCTTTATTTTTCTCCCATTATTGGACACTGCCGTCTGCCCCTCCGGCCCGTATCCTCCACTTCTACCAGCTAGACGACCCAACCGGGGTCACATTGGAGGGGGGGGTTGGACCACTCGTGCGGTTCCTGCCTGAGATATTTTTATCGCGAGAAGGGTACAGCAATCCCTTCCCTCGCGACTTATGTACTCGATCAAGTGTACTAACAACGAGCTTTGCAGCGCAGAGGGGGGGGTTGGACCCCTCCTCCTGCGGTTCCTGCCTTATATTTTTATCGCGAGAAGGGTACAGGAATCCCTTCCCTCGCGACTTATGAAGTCGATCAAGTTTACCAACAACGAGCTTTGCAGCGCGTCGCTTCCAACGGAGACCAGGATTTAATTAGCGAGAAAAAACTCACTCTGTCGGGACCCGAACCCATGACCTGGCCCTTAGCAGGCTGCGAGGCTATTCACTAGGCCACCAGGGCGACCGGTCTTTGTAAATGCGCAACAAGTCGGACCGTTCCCCAGAGATGGGGACTGGAAGCGCACAGCGTATACTACTCGTCGACGCCACAGGTATATGTCGCGGCTAGAACTGCTGTGTCCCGCACCAGGTACAATGCTGTCTCGCAAGCGCATGGGGCGCTTTTCATCGTCGAAGGAAAGCTTGTCACAACTTCATTCAGTCGTCGTTCGATTCCCGCGCACAGATATCCTCGGATGAGAGTCGGTTCCCTACACGACGTTTGCGTTCCTGGGCCGGTTGTCTCCATAGTTGTGGCGGGCTTTGTGAAAGCCAGTGATACAAGCAGGGCGCAGTCCGTCGGAAGTAAGAAGCGCTTCAGGATCTTCATACAAGGACTTCCACAAGATGTTTCCATCAAGGGCCGGATGCTGCTGCTGCTGCTGCTGCTGCGGCTGTCAACATAACGATGTGGAAGAATCAACATTCGCACCCTCGCAAAGAGTCTCAAACTACAGTCTACAGCAATAGCTATCTTGGACCAAAGGGCAACTTGCGAGTGCGACCGAAGGGCCGAGAAAAAAGCGAGCATCGAGGGCTGGTTACCGTGTATCCATATTCTCATGCTGGACGCAACACTCTAGACTATGGGCCGCATCCAACACGGGAGGATAGGTATTAGACAACATGACAAATCGTCAATAACTAGAACTCGTGCTCTACTACGACGGCGAACAGAACTCCTTCGAGGCTCGGATCCGATCCATCCCTACTTTCGCCGAATCTGCTCTAGGCGAACATCAGGCAAGAGCCCCCTGGCCTCCTCGATCGAGAAGTAAGAGTTGCAGACGGGGTTCCTGCTCGTGCACGTCGCACCCCCTACGGAAAGAGCTCTTCGGAACGCCTCCGGCAACTCCTCGCCTCGCGTCCACTCGTACAGCGTCGCCGCGGCCACCGCATCTCCCGCCCCGATTGGGTTTACGGCGTCCACCGGTGCGGGGGTTACTCTGCACACAGAACGGGCCCGGACATGAAAAAATATAGGGTTGAGGCTCAGTTTATTATCTCATCGCCACTGCTGTCGACAGGGACAAACACGACATTCGCGGGGAAACTGCATAGGGACTTGTGAAGATCGGACAAGGATCAAAGCCTGGGAGCGTTCAAATCTGTGCCAATAAAAACATGCCGACCGCCGATGGTAGCCATCTGCCCCGCAGAAACACAGCCTTATCCCGCCAAAAAGCGCTTTGCTTGTACGCGAACAGTCAATCGCGTATCGTCTTGGGTTTTTACTTGTGCGAGCGTTCTTTTATACTTTGCATCCCACCAAGGTCAAGCATGAGTGACGAAACGTCCCGCCCTCCCGCCCCCCCCCTCCCTTGGGCAAGCCAAGCGGCAACAGTAAAAAACACCTCCAAAACGAGCTCAAGGATCCGTCCTCCCCAAGGAACTCTCGGCTGAAGAGGTACGATGGAAGACCCCCGTTCGTCACCGCGATCCACGGCAAGCGGCCCTCGTGCCGCACGAACAGCTCGGCTGCCGCCATCGCCAGCTTGTCTTCCATCCACACGGACACGCCCCCCCCCCCTTCTCCCTCGCCGTCGCCCTCCCTCCCGCTCTCCGCAAGCGACACCACTTCTTCGGCGTTAACCTTTACGTTAGTAGAGCGGAGCGTTAGCAGGGCGGGCGTCAAGAAGGCGGAACTGTCAGCAGGGGTCGTCAGGACCACAACACCGCCACTGCAGACAGAAGCAGGCACATTGGTAGAAAAACAGCTGGTTACCCCGAGACTCAGCAAATATGCATGTGCTGCGTTGCACAAGGCGGTGAACGGAATGCGAAAGGTTAGTCTTCTCCTCGGCCGCTCGAGGGCGGAGTGCCGCAGCCGTGCATCTTGCCGAGGAGAGGACGGCAAGAAGGGTCGCGCAGGAAAAGAGGTACACAGGACTGCCAAAAGTATGGGACCGTGCAGAATGCCGGGAACACCCTTACAGGCGATAAAGAAACCAAAACAAAGCCGCACGAAGGTACTGCCTGAGGTGTGGCCCATGCGATAGGTGCACCACGGCTTCGCCGAAACGTCGCATGGCAAGGGCACACCCTTGAACGCTTCTCTACAAACAGGATATAACTTCATGGGTGTTTCGAACGTGGATACCGGAGGCAACAAACTCCATACAACGGCAGGCCTTCCAGAGTCCAAATCAACTTGTTGGGAGCGTCTCGTAGTTCCTTACCTTTAGCAAGCTAATGTGGCCGGTGTCCACGAGAGCCTGGAACCCGACCACGCTATCTACCAGCACACGCGTCTCCGCCCCCTTGAAGCCTGCCGACTTCGTGATCGCGCCCATGATCTACGCAAATGGGGGAAAGAGATAATACACACGTCGAGGCGACCGGGTGTTGAGGTGGTGGTGAAAGAAGACACGACGAGTTGGTTCAGCGGGTACATCGGACGACGAGAGATTGCGAGTTTTGCTTGCTGCTGCAGGTGAAAGGACGTGGCGCAAAATGCGACGCCAACGACGCCTGGTCTGTGAATGGATGCTGACACGAGAACACCACCGGTTCTCCGCCCGCGGGAGTATGAGCGATACCGATCGCCCGCTGAGGGAAGGACTGCTGTCACATAACACTGGTGGTGCTGTCACAGCCCGCAATAAGGTGTTCGAAAACCTCTACAGCTCCGTTTCGTGTACAGCAAACGAACGGCACGGAGGCACGGTACCTACGGATACCTCGCTCCACCAGGAGACACTTACGTCCACGAGTGCGTCCTTGCCCACTCCCACAGGATTGCTCCCCATCACCGCCACTCCGTGGATGCAGGGAACCTCTCCGAACGTCGACTTGCAGTCCGCCAGAAGAACTTGCTGCTCTTCGTCCGTGATCTGGGGAATGAGTGCCACGACCAGACACAACCGTGGACCCGCCGGAATAACGAGAGGGCCGTCGACTGAATGCAACAGCCTTTGGGTAAAACATTACATCAGGGTAGTGAACACAACGACACAGCAGGTTAAAGTATCCTTGGTTGACAACGCGAATACCCACGACCGTCCGTAAGCCGAGATAAAAAAATTGCCAGGCTCGCGTTCGCAGTACCCAATCCCCCGCAGAAACAGCGCAGAAACTGCCGTCGAGGATGTCCTCAAGCCACCATGAAAGAAACAAACGGAGGAAACGCGCGTCGTGGCGGTGAACCCTTAGCACCTCTGCGGAACGCCTGCGCGAGAGGATGTTCAGCGTTTACCTACGTGTGAAATAAAGAGAGGGGATTCGTAACCCGTAACCCCTACTAAAACTTCATATCCTCGCGAAGGCCACATGCTGCACCTCTGCCGACCAGGGCTCTATGATCTCCGTCGTCTCGCCGAAGCGTTCGTCCACGAGGGAGGTGCATAATCGCATCTCGGCCTCGGTGGCCGAGGTGATGAGCTTCACGCCCATGGCGGAGAGGTTTTCGCACACAGATTCGCCTGTTTTGGGCAGGGTACGGCGGTTGCGGATGAGGACGTGTGTCTAGGGAAAGCCTTTCCTAAAAGAAGGGCAGCGCGGCGATCTGTTGTAATTTGCCTACATGTTACAAATGCATGCCACAGACCCACACATTGCATTCGCCAGTAAAGCGTGCTGTTGCCTGTGTGGCTGACGGCAGACTCTAGACTCAGTTGCAGTCATCATCATAGCATTTTTGGGGTCTTGCGCGTGGCGAGCTGGTAGGCATCTCGCAAAATGCGTTGTCTGCTGGAACGAGCGCAGCTAGTCTCCCCTTCTTCCCCTCGCTGCCTCGGCAAGGTTTTGCCTAGGCATGACCCATACCGAGGGGGGGGGGTGTACTTATAGTCGTGCATGCCGTAGTCGTTAGACCATTGACCTCGCATCCCTACAAAGCCGGGACGGAGCACGCCGGGTTCTCACCGGACCAGGTTCTCACATCACCAAGCGTGAAGCGCCGTGAGATATTCGGCGAGTCGCATGAAGGG